CTATTTAAAGTAATATCTTAAAAGACTACAGTTGTAGAGTTCACACAGCTTATAATGTGATTTCCATTTTCAATTAGTTATCAAATTTGTTTTGCATACCTATCACACACCTGATGCCGTATTAGTTATAAATATTTCATGCAGTGCATTAGCTTTCTTAAATAGCATATCACATATCTGCAATGTATATACTGGTTTAAAGATACTGAAAAAAATTCATGCAGTAGCATATACCATTTTGAAATGCTATGCAGTACTTCAATACTCTTGTCCTTATCCCGTGAACTCTGCAGTAGGGTTCTGGCAGTTGTACCTGTTGTATGACCACCTCGTTTCCAGACAGGGGTAGGAGACATGTTTCTTAGGTTTACTTGCGCTGTTGTTTACATATATTATTTGACTTATACTACATTAATCTAATATACTATTGATGAAATTTTTATGGAGATGATTCTGTTGACTTTATACAGTAAGTACTGCATTTCTTTCATTCACTATTGCTGAGCTAGATGACCCTGTTTAATATATAAGTACAATGTTTCTTTCATACACTATTGTTGAAATTTTGAGGTAGATGATCATCTTTACCATATGGGTACTTTATTTTATTCATTTACTTATTCGTCCGCTTTGGCCGATCCCCGAGACGTCACCACTGGCTCTGGTCTTGTCCTACTTGGCTGCTGTTTGCCTGGTTGTCTCGTCATTGGAAATCGCCCAAAGCATTCTTTTGCATCTCATTAGAGAAGTTCAGTGTCCATACACCAAGATTTCAGTCGGATATTCCATTATTCACTCTAATCCACCCATTCGTTTCTCCTATACCAGATACCAGTCAGCCTTTATTTCCGTTCGCGTAAGTTAGAGAGAATCCGGATCAGCCACTCTGCGGGAGGGAGAAACTGCACCTTTATTGAAAAGGCGCGGTCACACTAAGCCCTTGGAACAGACGGACCTCGAGGTATGGGAAGACTCGATCCCAGTACACAGCGTGGCAGGTCCCTCATAAGTGGGGACGGGGAAAAGACCCCCGTGTCCCCCCGTAGGCGATTAACTATGCGAAAACCGATTACTTCATTAAGCACTGAAGGCTGTGCTTTGGTGTACAGTTATGTGCCTTTTATGTGTGTGTGTGTATGCTTCGAATTATGAATAGATAACGTAGTATTCCTTTGTATTTAAGGCTAACGTGTGTGTAGCGTTCGTTTGACGGATTCCTCCCGCGGACGGCGCCCAGTTCGAACATGGACATCCCTCATGAAGTAGTTTATTCCCTCATCGATAAAGTCAGGGCCAGTGAGCAAATATGGAACGTGAAGCATAAAAACTTCAAGAGTAGGACACTGAGGAGGATGAATATGGTTGATATTAGCAGGCAGCTGCAGCAGAAATATCCAAAATATGCAGATAAGCTAACCACAGGTAAGTCTTTTTTTTTTGTCTTTGCCAGGCATTATCTTCAAACATTTCTGGATGTGTTAAATATTCAGAATACCTTCACTTAACCCATCACAATGATTGTGTCATGCAGGGGCGAAGATTGTGGGGGGTGTGACACCCTGCCCCCCCCCCAATCACAAATATAGTGGATTTTGCAGGGTGTCAAAGAGAGTTTTATTGCAGCGCAGCAACTGCTTAACAAGTGTTGCAAATCATGCTAAACTGTCTTGAAATTTGCAATTAGTTGTAAATTTTGGAATTGTTTCAAATGCAAATATTCCCAGGCAAAACTCACCCATATGAGTAGTGCACTCACAGACAATATATTTAAAAGAGATTGTTAACATTTGGTCAAAGGTTAAGTTGCGCTGGCTGTCCATAAAATGAGTCTTTCCTGGTTTAGCAACTAGTTTCATTCTGACAAATCAATATAAATTTTGAATCTTTCCATGTAGTTGCAATATATGACATGAGATGTAAGCTTAATTACAAAGCCAAATCAAAACTAAAATTTCATTCAGGCTTATTAGAGATGAATAAATATTGCACAGACAGTTAAGATTCAAATTTTGTTTTAATGCTCAGAATTTCATCCTTAAATGGCAAATTAACATTGTTAAAGCCTTTACTTGCAACCTATTGCAGGATAGATAAGCGTGTTATGCGCTCATTTAGCGCCCTACGCATTAATATTGAGATTAAATATGAATTGGTCAGTATAGAGTCAACTGCATGGGGGGTTCGTCTCCTGCAACCTCCCTAGTGGGAGGGCTGCCACTCCCTAACTTGCTCTAATTGAAAGAATCCACCACATATGTATAGCAGAACAGAGTACTAGTGAGTACATGGGTATAGGAATGTACCCTACATAGCAGCATACTAACCTATGATATAGTCAGCATAATATACTGATTGTGAGGTATTCCAGATTGTTGTCATCCATCAATTAGGTTAGTAAATTATTGTCCCTAGGCTGTATCTTATTGTGTTCAAACTGAGAGTTGTTTGTATGCTCTGTCCTGCTGTGAATATGTAGAGGATTCTTTGTCTTCTAGAATGG